GCATAGTTTACTTCCATCTCAATCTGCTTCTCTTGAAAACAAGCTACAATTTTGGCCGGATAATTCAGACACATCCTCAGATTTGGTCTGTAAGAGCTGCCACAAAAACTTAAAAGCATAATTCCTACTCCTCCAGAGCTGTGGCTCTCTTCCGAAAGTGTAAAATGAATAAAGTTATCAAGTGATGTTTTGTATTTCTTTTGTGTTCCTGTAAAAACACCTGTATCTTTGAAATGTGATCAGGTTCTTTACCATAAAATAGATGATTCCATTGAGCTCCGGGCAGCTCAACACTAGAAGCTGAGTACAGCTTCCAGTTAGCATCCACTCAATCCGCAGGTGCAGTGGGAATCTGAACGCTCGCCCCCCCACCCCCCGTGACAAAAATTTCTTGTAAAAATTCGAGATCAGTGTGTCTGGCTACCTTGGCATCCTGGTAAGCAAGCCACTCCTGTGTGGACCACTAAGAGTCGCACTTTTTAGATCAGGCGAAATAGCTAGATAAATCTCTTTTGAGTTCTCGTGACCTAGAGTTGAGCGTATCACTGTATACAAATTAGCTAAATATCCACACTCTACCACTCTTTCTAAATATCCCATATTCTGTGACTAGTATGGACAGGAACGTGGGGAATATTGCCAGTCCTGTGCTGCCTACCCAAAGGCATGTGCCCTAACCCCCCCAGTGATGTAGGTCAGAATGGTGAGGCTGGAGGTGACCTGAATGGTTATCTAGGCCACTCCTCATTTTAGAGATGAGGAAGTGGAGTTCCAGAAAGGAGAAGTGGTCTGTCCCAAGGTCACTTGGTGTGTCTGTGGCACACTCAGGCTTTCTGTCCCTGGTCCAGGGCTCTGTCTGACACCCTGTAGCAGCTTACCCAGTTCAAGTCCTGTGGAAGGTCCCAGAGAACAGGGACCAGGGGTGTAGATTTTGCTAGTATCCCTAGCTCCCTGAACCTTGCCCAAACTTAGGAATGAAAGACTTTCATTGTGATGAAACCCTTATAAGACTTCCCCCTCCCAATCTGTCTCTTCTGAGGCAACAGTTACACTTATTCAGCACCGACCATATGCCAGCAAAACTGTGAGTGCTCGACGCATTTGCTTCTCGGCCACAACCAAGCCATAGCTACTATCACGGCTCCCATTTCACAGATGAAAAAACTGAGGCATTCTGAGGTAACGTAACTTGCCCAGGGTCACGCAGGTAATTACAGGAGCTGAGATTCAAATCTAGGCAGTCTAGAGCCAGAGTCCCTGCCTAGGATTCTGTTCTATCAGGGAAGCAACAGCCTATTCAAGAAAGGGGAGTGAAGATGCCTGTCCTAATTGATTTTTTCTTCTCTGATGGCCTTCTTTTGCTACAATATCATCCCTCAAAGGCCCGTTCCCTCATCCTCTCTAGGTCCCTTCTTCCCCACGGGAACTTCTTAGCAGCCCCAACACGTGGGTCGCCTACTGCACCTCACCGTCTGGGCCCCTGTCTCTGACCCTCTCACCCCACCCATCCCACAGCCTCGCTGCCCACTCACCTTTCAAAGGATAACCAGTGGTCCAGTTTATAAACTCCAATTTGACTTTAATTTAATAAATTAAATTCCAAGCCATCACACAGCAATGGACATCATCATCTCCCAACACGCGGAGGGTGCAGCCCTGCTCTCGCTCCATCATCATCAGTCTTTAGTAAAGCCCCTGGAGCCATCGCTCTGGGGAAGGCTCCCACCCAGCTCTGGGCTCCCTCCTTCCAACAGAGCCACTGCTCACAGAGAAGGCATCAAGTACAAAAACGGTAATAAAGGGAGGGAGGGACGAGGAGCAGGAGGGGAGGCAGGGAGGTGGGGAGTACCTGCCCCCCAGCCCGGGCACCGGCCCGGCTTTCTGTGAGCTGCCAATGTCCTCAGAGGCAGACACTGGTGCTGGTCAGAGTGGGGACCTGAGGGAGACAAGGGAGTCCTGTCCCAAAGGGAATTGCCTACCTTCCTGGGACAGGAAAGAAGGGTCACCTGGGAGAGATGCCCTCTCTCGTCTGTGCACTGAGGGTCCTGGACCACACATATAAATAGAAAAGAGAATAAATAGGGGAGGAAGGACCAGCTGAGGAGCTGAGCACCCTGGGACTCCTCTGAGGGGCCAATGTCGACAGCACAACCGGTTCCGAGGAATGCCCACAAGTGCAGGGGCAGAGCCCTCCTCTTGTTCCCAGCCACCCACTCCCTTTTCTGTGTTCTCAGCAACAGGTGCCCACCTCTCTCATGCTTCCCGTTGTAAGCACCCTTCCAACTGGCCCCACAGCCCAGGGTGGACAGGGCTTCCTGGAACCCAGAGGGCTTCCCTGGCCCAGACTGTTGGGAATCCAGGAAGGGGAATGGAAGAGGATGTGGAGGGTGGGCTGAGAGGACTCCTGCCCTCTCCTCGCTCAAAAGGTGAGGAGGGCCCTCAGAGCTGGGGGCTGGGGTTGCCATTGGCCTTGGGTTTGGATTTGAAGGAAAAGCGCTTGATAAGGCGGCGAGAAAAGCTGCCAGCCTTCTTTCGGACACTGGGGGTGGCCGTCGTGTTGGAGAGGTCGTCGTGTGATTGGCTCAGACCAGCTTCCTTCTGTCGAGGCCTCCGGCGGAAGATAAGCTTCGTGCCACTGCGCAGGAAGCTCACTGTGGGGGAAGAGGGGAGGCTGAGGCAGACAGAGGGGTATGACAGGCATGGGGTGAGGTGGGGAGCAGAGAAAGGACCAAGCACGGAGGGGTCAAAGATACAGAACAGAACCTTTCCTTCGCCTAGAAGCCAGGCTTCCTTAGGAAAGAAAATAGAGACAAAACAATGCCTCTTATCTTTCCTGAGGAAAAAATGGTGGCACTCATGGGATTCTGTGGGCAAGTCTAACTATTGCCGCTGAGGAGGAATGTCACAGGGCTGCTTCCCTGTAAGGACAGACTGACAAATGGACCTCTTTACTCTGGAAAGAAAAGACGGAGCAGAGGGCATTTCTAAAAGCCCATAAAAATCATGAAAGGATAAGGTGGGTGGCCAAATTCCAGGATGCGAGCAAGAAGCTGCATCTGGAAAACTTCAAGGAGGTAAATTTGGGACCAGTATAATGAGACAAGTGTTTACACAGCAGGCTTTGGACTTAGGAATCTCATTATCCCAAGAAGTGATGCAGGCTTACATCATAGTTAAAATACATGTGTGGTTGACGGACTCGTTGGCAGAGGGATAAAGATGTTTGGGGGCAAAGCCTCTCATCCTTAGAAGTTAGAAAAGCACCACGACTATCCACGGGCTGTGTCACTGCTAGAAGGACACTTCTAGGTTTGACTGGGCGTAGGATTCCTTACACTCAGAGGAAAGCGAGTACAGAATGGAAGTCGGCGGGGGTGGGGGGGGAGAGAAAAAAAAAGAAGAAAGGAAAGAAGGGGTGTGCTTAGACCCAGGAAGAAAGAAGAACAGAGGTAAAGGGAAATCCTTTGGCATCCCTCCCAGTCACCTGTGCCTGTCAGATCCAGGCCAGGACCCAAGGCAGTAAGTGCCCCTTCTCTACTCTGGCTTGGTTGAAACAGGCTGGGAAATGTAGCGATCCCTTAGGGGAGGAAGGAGAAGGCAAACTGGGTTGAGAATCCCATTCCCGTAAGTGTCCAGTAGGACCCAGGTCACGATACTGGGCATAAAAGGGGAGGGGGATAAGTAAACATTAAAAAAAATTTAAAGGGGTGGCTGAGTGGCTCAGCCGGTTAAGCGTCCAACTTTGGCTCAGGTCATGATCTCGAGGTTCGTGGGTTCAAGCCCCACGTTGGGCTCTCTGCTGTCAGGGCAGAGCCTGTTTTGGATCCTCTGTCTCCCTCTCTCTCTGCCCCTCCCCTGCTCCCTCTCTCTGTTTCTCTCTCTCTCCCTCTCAAAAATAAACAATTTTTTTTTAAATAAAAAAAAGAAGAAGTGGAGAGCACATGCCAATATTTCCCCACCTTTGTGATCCTTGAGGCTGCGGGTCTCCAGGGCGCCAGTAGACCCTGTTTCTGACTCAACATCATCCACAGATGGCCTCTCAGAAATGTCCGAACGTGTTGTCTCATCTGCTTCCTGGACGCTCGTGGGGCTGGAGAGGGGATCTAGGGGTCCTGGAGACATGGCCGGTGGGTCTGGGGGAGGTGAGGAGGGACCTCCACTGGTTCCCGCATCATCCTGCATTGAGGCCTCCAGGGATGCCGCATAGCCCAGAGACAGTGCCAACTCGTCCTGAGCGATGGGCACCTGGCAGGAGGGACACATTTTAATGGGCAGGACTGACCCGTTAGGGCTTTCTCCCTATCCCAGCTCCTCTCCTCAGAGCCCTGTTACCTTGGAAACGCCAGAGATGATGAGAGTGCTACGCTTGGTGGGTGTCTTTTTGGCTGCCCGCCCGCTGGGCTCCGTCAGCTGGCGAATCGCTGTCTCTGCTACAGGGTCCAAGCCGTTGGAAAGGTGGCTCTCCCCTGCTGGGGGTACAGAGGATTGGTAACATGACTCCTCCGTGGCTCCTTCTTGGACTTGGACTCCTGTGCCCCACCCAAAATGACTCTGACTCTGACTCTGGGGCTCCAGTGCCAACCGCCACTCATACCTCCCGATCCCCCACTCACGGCTGCTGCTGTGGGAGGCACTGCTGGGGCCGCTGCTCTCACTCAGCACAGTCGTAGTCTTCTCGGTCACCTCCACCTTGGACGGGGAGCGGGAGGGGGAGTCTGGTGGGTGGGGGAGGGTCAGTGAGCCGGGAGGTGCCTTAAAGTGGCCCCCACCCCCTACTGTCTTTATTGAGATGCACGCTTTGGCTGACTCAGAGGGCAGGGGTGACTAAGGGACAATTAATCACATGGGTGATTAATAAGATGCCATGGGGGCAAAAAGACAGCACGGGAAGCAAGGGGAGTGTGGGGCAATGGCATGGGACCCACTGAGGGTATGGGGAGACACCTTGAAAATGCAGAGTGCACGGAGATGGCACAGGGGTCCCCTGGGGGTGGGGGGAACCCCAAGAGACCTCTGGAGCTGGGAGAAATGTCCTGGAGGGCCCCTGGGAGTGGGAGAAGTACTACAGAGGCCACTGGGTTTGTTGGAGGATCCCAAGGATGCTAGGAGGTCAAGGGTAGAAGGAGGCACAAGTAGGCAACTGGGGCCAGGGGGGAAGGAACGGCAAGAGAGCGAAGTACAAGAGTCTTGTAGAGGAGGCCCTGGCCGACCCAGTGCTAAAGCAGGATAGGAACAGCGGGGAAAAGGAGGGATGGAAGAGAAGGCTTGAGAGAGAAAGATGATGAGGAAGATGTGGCTGGATACAGGAGGAGCTGGAATTAGGTCTTCCCTTGCCCTTCCCTGTCCTGCATGGGTCTGCAGCCAGGGACCCCTGGCTCAAGCTGGGCTCCGTTCTCTTTACCTAGTTTCCCTTCTACACGAGGCCGGGACTGGACGGTGGTGACTGTGGTCACGATGGTGCCATCAGGCATGATGGTCCGGTCCAGCTCGATCTTCTTGGTGGGAGTGATGCTGGGGCGTGGAGTGGAGGGAGCAGGTGTACCTAGGTTCCGGGGGGAGCCCTCCTCATACTGAAGCTGCCGAGGGGTAGAAGAGCCAAGAGGCGGCGCCTCAAAAACTGTGCTTCCCCAGTGTCCTCCCGTCTTCTCCCCAGGCTCAGCTTCTCACCTCCACTGCGATGGTGGCCGCTGGTCCCAGGGCTTTCCCCGGCCCTAGGGTGAGCGGGCATACCTGTCTTCGGGACAGCGGTCTGGAAGGGGAGCCCACAGGCAGCGTGACCTGGCCCAAGAGTTCAGCTGGGGAAAGGGGGAGCACTGTGAGCTGGGCCCATGACCGGGCCCCACTGAGCACCCATCCAGAGGGGCTCCTTCCTGCCCCATACTCACTGTCTCCAGAGCTGCTGTTCCTCAGCACTTTGAGGGTCAGCTCCCGACTCTGGGGGCCCAGATCCCTGTGGCCAAGAGGAGGTGGGGCAGGGAAGGGGAAGATTAGTAAACTGAATCCACCCTTGAACTGATCACAGGCCACAGGCCCGTGGAATAAGGGCTCCAATGGAGCCTGCCCTCCAAATTACTGTCTCTTCCCAGGGTGCCTGGCTGGCTCAGGCAGAAGAGCATGTGACTCCTGATCTCGGAGTCATGAGTTCGAACCCCACTTTGGGTGTAGAGAGTAGTTAAATAAATAAAATTTTAAAAAAGTAAATCTTAAAAAAAGTATATATGCTAACTAATTTGGATATAAATTTAAAAAACTAAAATGAATGTTTAAAAATCTTAAAACAATTAAAAACAAAAACAAATACTCTTCCCAAGAGAACGGGACAGAACTCTGCTCAGTGAATAGTATGCTAGGCATTCAGATCCTCCCTGATCCTGCCCCGTTTGCCCTCCCTGTCTCTCCATGTCAAACCACCCCCTTCCCTTTGCTCAAGCTGTTTCCTCTGCCAAAAACACTTCTCTCTCACACTCTGTTGAAACCCTCTTCTTGCTCTAAGGTGCGGTTTAAATGCCACCTTCTCCACGAAGCCTACTCTGATCTTTATTCCCCATGGGAATTAATCTCCCCACACCTAAGCACGCCCACGGCATTCTGTGTAGATCTTGACTGGAGCCCTTATACCATCGTCTTTACATACATCTGTGTCTGCCTGGAGCCTGCAATCGACTCAGGGGTGGGGGTGTATCTTGGTCACGTCTGTATCCGCAGGACCTAGGCCAGGGCCTGGCATACAATGGGGGCTCACACCAAAGTTCAGTGAAAGCAGAGCTGATTCGTGCTAAGGCTATGCTGGAAGGGTCTGATCTTCAGTCTGCCCATAGGAGCAGGGGTGGGGTTGGAGGAGTCACTCCTTACAGTGCCAGGTCGTCAGTCCACTCCACGTCGGGACCGGCACTTGCGGGCTTGGTCCACTTCTGTTGTGCAGGGTTGTCGAGCTCAGCTACACAGCATAGCTCCCCAGTGCCTGGGAGGAACGAGAAATGAGAAGATGCTCAAAGATGGGAAGCCACTGAGGAATGATGAAACTACACCCGTGGAAGAAGGGCAGGGGGCACCTGCACCCATAGCCCTGGCAGGCCCCCAGCTGCTTCTAGCTCTCACCTTCCAATTCACCTCCCAGGTGAGATGCTCGAAGCTGCCGTAGGAATAACCGGATAGGTCTGGAGATGGCTGGCTGCGCCTGGGGCACCGTGGGTGGCTTCTCACTGGATACCTAAGAGCAGAAGGAGGGAAAACGAACGAGGATCCCGACATAGCACCCTGGGGACGATATGCATACAGACTATTTGCTTTGAGTGCCTACTTACCAGGCCTCCAGGGGCAGAGCAAGCCCTGAGGTTGACCATCATGGCTGGCTGAGTGCTGACAATGGCATCCTCAATCAATTCCTCAATGGTGGAGAGATCTACTTGCTCCTCGCCTCTCTGTAGGGAGAAAAGGAGAATAAAGAGGTGGGGCCCCCAGCTCCGCACCCCCTCCTTGCTCTGCCTCTTCCGCCGAGCCCTGCCCCCTTACCTCCCTGGCCTGCAGCTTGGGAAGCACCGTCAGGCTGAGATCTGGACGATCAGTGAAGGCCCAGGACACAAGCAGCCCCTCATCAGGGATTTCCTCCAGGCTGACTTCCAACTGCGGAGGAGGGACAAAGGGGCTGGGTTGACTTGCCTCACACCTCCAACTACTCCTACTCCCCAGGACCCTCCCTTCCCAAATTCTGTCCCAGAGGGAACCAAACTGAAAGGCTGAGGCCTTGAACCACCCCCTGCCCAACTCAGTTTCCCACATCCCCTTCCACCTGTGTTGGTGGCAGTGTCAGAGTGACGTGGTAGGTCTCCATGGAGACGGCAGCGGGGGACTGCTGGGTCACGGAGACTGGGAACATCACCTCCTCAGCAGAGAGCTGGCAATGCAGCACCTGAGACAAGCGAAGCACGGAGGCCAGGAGGGTCAGGCATGGAGGAAGGTGCCCAACCTTGCTTTGCGCTGCCCTTTAGAGAGCCCTCCCCACTGGGTTTTCCTTGGGACTTCACCCTTCTGGGGTCACAAGCCCATAGAAGAATTAAAGTCAAAGACTCCTCTCTCCAGAAAAATGCAGATATACACACACATGTGCTACATTTCGCATGCAACTTTAATGGGATTCTCAGACCTCCTGAAGCCAATCCTTGCATTCCTAAGGCATTCACAGACTTCAGGCCAAGAACCCTCAGACTAAAGGGAACTCTTGGGACCAGCCCCCCTCGGGGTCTATAGAAGGCAGTGCCCGGCAGCCCCTTACCATGGTGCGCTCTGATTGGTCTACGCAGGTCACATGACTAATGCTGGCTCTGGGTGGGAGTTGGGGCACCTCCTCAAAGGCGATTTGGATGGAACTCTGAGGGAGTAAGTAGTGTGGACACAGGGTCAGGTCTCCGGAGCTGCCCCCCACAGGGCTGGCCTGCTGGGTTGCTGGCTGGGTCCTGGCACTGCGGAGTCCTCAGCTGCAGGCTGGCTTCTGGCCCCTTCTTGGCTCAGGGTTTTAGGACAGGGAGTGTTCCCCTTGAACCACACCTCTCTGGGGCCTGCAGTTGCTAGGAAGGATGGAGGAGCTAGACCACCTCAAAGACCAGATCACCTTGAGCTGAAGACCCTCGATTCCTCCTGGAATACTAGGAGCCTCCCTCTTCTCCTCCCACCTTTCTCTTCATTCCTCAACCTACCCCCAGAGAAAGGTGCACACCGGGAAAAAAAAATAATAAAGGTGTTGGTTGCTACCTACGTATAGTGAGGGAGAGAGTGACTCGGCTGAGCTAAAGGCAAAAGCAATAGGGCCACTTATTCAAGATAAGAGCTGGAGAAATGAGGCTAAGCCTACGTCTACATACACAGGATGCAGAAGCTCAAGAGTATGACCCTATCTATATTCTTGGGGTTGAGGACTAGCTCCACATGGGCGTGGGGAACTTTACCAGAGGCACTGGCAAGAAAAGCAAGCTCAGAGAGCTCAAGCTTCCAGAGGCCTGGCTAATTCCCCAAGGCAGACAGCAGGGTGGTATTAGGCAGCAGAAAGCTGCTTAGCTTGGGTCTTGAAAGAGCTTCCTGATTCTTACACAGCAGTGGAAACAGCCTACTGCAGTCCCATCCAGAAAGCAGGATGGGAAGGAGAACTGAAGAAGGGGCACCCACTGAGCTGGCAGCCGTTCCTCGGGTCTTGGGATGGGAGGAAACAGATTCACAGGACCCGTGTGCCTGGCACACCAGAAAACACCAACTTCTCTGCGCCTGTAGCTGGCTTGTTTGAAGGCCAGGCCCAGGGAGATGGGGAGATGGATGCTAGGAACCCCAATCTCCCCACCCCCTGCAAGGGAGGCCAATGTCCAGCTGAGTCAGCTGTCCTGGGGAGTCTCTCCTGACCAAGGGACAAGGTACAGGGAGAAGTGGGTGGAGGCATGAGTTCAAGATGTAGACTAACAGATGCCATCTGGCTTTCTGCTGGCTAGCTGGACAGAGGAGACTGAGCAACTTCTTACGTGGCCACTTTTGTTTCCAGGCATCTGGGGAGCTAGTGGAGCAAAGCCCTAGTGGGAGCTGGAAATGGAGAACCTTCTGGGTAGGGGGCTGATGGGCTGTGAGAGTGAAGACAGAATACTGGGCCGGGATGGGAGAGGGCCCCATGACACGGAGGCCTCTACCTCCCACCCCACCTCAGTCTTATGACCACGCTTCCTGCCCTACTTCCTGGGAGACCAGATGCCCATGGTGCAATGGGAGGAAGTAGGCTGGGCTGGTTTGTGACTGACCCTCAAGAGGCAGTTCCAGACTCATCTACTGAGAGGGGCATGGACTGTCAATCTGCTCTCCACCTTAACACCTTTTCCTCAATATATACACTGCAGGTCAGCAAAAAGAAGGGTGTGTTAGACTGTATCAGTGAAATTACTAAGGGTGGGGGGGGTGGAGGGGGTGTATATTTCAGGCTCCTTGGGGATCTATCTGCCTGATCAAACCAGGGATTTGGGGCATGAAATGTTAACTGGGTGTGGTGGCATGAGGACCAGGCAAATTTCTTCTGCAGGTGCACCTGTTTCCCTTCTATCCTTGCTCCCCGACACAACCAGCACCCAGGCTACACGGAAGTGCCCTCGGGCCCAGGGATTAGCGTTGCTATGAAAACAGCAACTTGTGCTTGGGTTTGCAGCCAGAGAGTACCTTGACCACAGAATAGAGGATCTGGGACATAGCTAGATTTCTACAACCTCCAGCCTCACCTGCACCCTTTTCTGTGATCCCAGAGGGGAAGAGAAGCCGTAGGGTTCTCCAGTTGATCCCCACCCCCATCTGGCCCTCCAGGCAAGAGCAGTCCCTCCCTCCCCGCCCTGGAAGGAAAGGCTGAGGGAACCACCTAGGTGCTCCTGTCCAACTCACCCCGTCCCTGCAGGCCTGCTCGTTCAGCGCTCGCACCCAAGCCCGTTGCCAGTTCTCTCGGAAAGACTTGAAGGCGAAGAGCGACGCCAGGAGGCCCCGGACGCCTGGCTCCTCGGGGGCACCAGCCCGAGTCGGCCGCAGCCGCAGCAGCGAGCGCCACACGCCCAGCTCTCGAAGGGAGCCCGCGGGCTCGGCAGCTAAGGCGGGTCCCGGCCCCCGGCCCCCGCGGGCCCGTGCCAGCCACAAGCCCCGGGCATACTGTAGCAGCCAGCCAAACACCGTGAGCAGCGAGGCGGCGAAGAGGATCAGCAGGGCCGCCCAGCCCACGTCCTGCTGCCCCCAGCCCGGATCCATGCTCCGCACGGGCTCCGGTCCGGGCCCCGGCACGGGCTCAGCCGCTGCCCCGGGGGAGCATGGCCCGGGCGGGCCGCGGGGCGGGGGCGGGCTCCCCCGGGGCTGAGCGCGCGGGCTTGGGGGCTCTGCGGGGATGGGTGTCCGGAACTAGTGGATGCCACAGATCGATGAGAGGAGTCCTGGGGGCTCGCAGCGCCGGGGTCCCTCTCTGCGTGATCCGGGTCCCTCCTCAGTTGGTCCGGCAGTCCGACCTGGGTTAGTCGCCTGCCAGCGCCCGACTCCTCCCACGGCGTGGGCCCTTCTGGACCCGGGCGGGGACTCTTCTGCAGAGACGTGGGGGCTCGCGGACCGGCACCGGCTCCGGAAGGGCTGCGTGCGCAAAGCCGACATTGACAACACGGCCGGCGCCCCGCCCCCACTCGCCCTTAAAGGAGCCGCACCCGCGCTGGGCGGGGCTTGGCGAGCCCGGCGCCCAAGCGCTTAGAGGAGGGCGGGAGGACTACGCCGAGGGGAGGAGGTTCCGGGGTTGAAAATAGGCGGGATCTTTGACCACCCCGCCCCATACTGAAAAAGGGGTACTCCCTTTCCCCCGAGCTCACAGCAAGAGTAACTTTCGCTCACTTGAGGTATCTCGTCTGATTTCCCTTACGCACTTAGATTTCTATAGTTTGGACGCATGTGGGGTTAAGGACATGACCTCCGTGGATGGCGTCGGCTCCTTCTCCCAACACCCCTAGGCGCAGCAGCTTCTTTGGTTCCCATTTCTTGGCCTAAGCTAGGCCCTGGGTGAGTAAATAGGTGCAGAGCATCCCTCCTACATAGAAGTGCCTCGCGGAGGTCCAGGAGACACCGACCAGAAAGAACTTGAACCTAGTAGAGTCTGAGAATAGAACATGGAATGTTAATCTCCCTCCACCACCACCACCTCCCTTCTCCTAGCACCTAGGACCCAGGAACACCCTATTAACCTCCTTGCTCGCGTGGGTTTGTTCTGGAGATATTTCCCAAGCCTGGGGCTGCTTCTGTTTTTAAAAATAATATATTTCCATAGTAACAGCTCTTGCCCATGGAGCACGTGTAGAAGAGGTGGTAATGAGAAGGGAGCTGGCAGCGTAGCACTGGACTATCAATAGATTCAGCCAAAACATGTGATGCCATCCAAATATGTGATACCCCAACAAGTGCACACACATACAAAATGATGCTATGGGTACACTCTGGCCTCAGGATCGATCCCTTTTCCTGGATTTAAGGGAGGAGATTCCATCCCTACGGGACAGGAGCTTGTCATTTCCTTCTGGAGGGAGAGGAAGGAAACTCTTGCAACAGAATTAAAAGGAAGCCCCATTCCCCAAGAGGCCCTTCTCCATGTACATATGGCAAAGTGTTCAGCACACAGGGTAACAGGGTAGGTATTAATCTCCCTCCCAAATCCAGTCAGTAGTCCAAAGAAGGAGTATCTGGGAATAAACAATGCCTTCTAAAGTGCAGGGCTGCAGAGTTAGGCAGAATCTGGTAGGTCAGCAACAGGGTTCCTGAGCCAGAGGAGGTGGTGGGGTAGCCTGGGATGCTGGGAATTCACTGTAAGAAATGATGGGGGGATGGTTGGTAATGGACTAACCTTGCTGTCGTCCTGCCCATGCGTGCGTCATCACTGGACACCAAAAATGATGAAAGATTCCTAGAATGTGTTTTTTTTTAAGTTTATTAAATTTTTAATTTTTATCTTTTTTAGTAATCACTCAACGTGAGGCTCAAACTCATGCCCTCAAGATAAGAGTCGCATGCTCTTCGGCTTGAGCCAGCCAGGTGCCCCTAGAATGTTTCTAATCATTAGGTGAGGAAAAGACATGAAATGAAGGGAAGAAAGAATCCCAGGCAGGCTCCGCACGGCCAGTGCAGAGCCCAAAGTGGGGTTCGAACTCACGAACTGTAAGACCATGACCCAAGCCAAAATCAACAGTTGGCCGCTTAACCGACTGAGCCACCAGGCGCCCCTGTCATTTAAAAAAGTCTAACAGAAAATATTCCATTATGCATGTCAACACTAAGAATTTCTATACTGTTTCCATCTTTTGAAAACTCATTTCGGGGCGCCTGCGTGGCTCAGTTGGTTAAGCGTCCGACTTCGGCTCAGGTCATGATCTCGCAGTCTGTGGGTTCAAGCCCCGCGTCGGGGTCTGTGCTGACAGCTCGGAGCCCGGAGCCTGTTTCAGATTCTGTGTCTCCCCCTCTCTCTCTGACTGTCCCCTATTCAAGCTCTGTCTCTCTCTGTCTCAAAAATAAATAAACATTAAAAAAAAATTTTTTAAAGAAAACTCATTTCATCTCAATGGAATGGGAGATCTTGGGGCTTGCTTTCAGCTAACAACTTTTGATATACTGATAGGGGAGAGATGGGAAGAAAAGAAAAGAAAAACGTAGCTCAGCTGCCTGGAAAGAGCCTGGATCCTGCAAGTGTCATTGCCCAGACTATCCAAAGCTGTCTCATGGACTTTGTAGGCACTATAAAACATTTTTGGGACAGGCTTTGACAGGGAATCAGACTTAACAATAGATTGGCCTTGCTCACTGGGAGGTGCTCAGGGCTCCCTAGTAGGAGACATGCATCTGAAATGTTGTCTCCTTAGCCCAAGAAACCGGCAGAAGCTACTGAGGACTCACCTCATCTGTAAGTTCTAGGACCAGCTTCGGCGTTCAGGCAAATGCTTTGAACTTTAACCAGGAAAGCCACAAAATTTCAAGTGTGGCCAAGTCCTGTGTTTGTTTCTCCTAACTAGTCTGATAATCAACTGGGCATTTACCATCATGGGTACAAAAATGTTGAGATTATAATGTAAGTACCCAAGTAACCATTTTCTGATGGCAAACATGTATATTGGATGAAAAATCCCTAGTGTCTTGACGTTGAACAAGGCCCCCCCCCCCCCCCC